ACAAGAAATGGCTGAGCAGATCTATGTATTCTAGCTGAACATCATGAAGTCTGTAGTTTTCTTTAGGGGACAGCATGTGGGTTTATTATTAAACCAGAAAACATATGTGAATAATTGAGGAGAGCAATCCAGCATTTAGGTTAGAAAATGTGAAGTCAGCTTGCTGTGAATAACATATCTCTGCATTTTGACCTGTTGCTGACAAAGAATATATTTCACTATTACCTGGATAGAAATGATTGGGGATTTTTTCTCCTGTAAATGAAAGCCAGTTGAGAGAAGCTGGCAACAGACAAATGATGCTCATTCCTCCCCTGCTTTTACTTAATGGCTGATATCGAGATGCTCTGCATTCACTGGTGACACTGCTATTAAAAACATATTTCTTATCTGGCTCTTTTATTCCTACAAATCGAGCATGGAAATAAATCTGTGCTGATGGAGCAGTGAGCAAGCAGTCATGGGAAGAGAAAGGAGGAGAGGAGAGGAGAGGAGAGAAGAGAAGAGAAGAGAAGCGAAGAGAAGAGAAGAGAAGAGAAGCGAAGAGAAGAGAAGAGAAGAGAAGCGAAGAGAAGAGAAGAGAAGAGAAGCGAAGAGAAGAGAAGAGAAGAGAAGCGAAGAGAAGAGAAGAGAAGAGAAGCGAAGAGAAGAGAAGAGAAGAGAAGCGAAGAGAAGAGAAGAGAAGAGAAGCGAAGAGAAGAGAAGAGAAGAGGGAAAGAAGAGAAGAGCTGGCCTCAAACTTGAGGCCACCAAGGTGTGCACCTGCCTGGGCTGAGCTGCCCATCCATCATTTTCACACAGGGAAACAGAAAACCCTAATCCTCAAGGAGCCAAAAATGTGCTGGACTCAAGAGAGGGGATGTAAAACTCAAAGGAGACCCCAGTGCAGCCACTGGGGTGCTTTATGGGGAGGACTGGGACACCAGAATCTGTGTGGAATTCTTCCTGCAGCAATCCCAGGTGGAGAGACAGCAGCAGAACCTGCTGATCCACCATGCAGAGCACTCTGCTCTTGGCAGGAGTTCATCCTATTAATCCCATAAATAAGTGTATTAATATGTGGATGGAACACATTGCCAAGTACAAAATAATCCTTGGCAAGAGACATACGTGTGTGTGTGTGAGATACATGATATACAAACACCATCCTACCCAGATCAGGTTTCCAGGGTTAAAAATACATGATGAATTAAAATTTCATATGAAATTCTAGCTTTGGTGAGTACTGGAAAACATTACTTTCCCCCTTCAACCCCATAAAGGCTTTTATTGGGGAAGATGAGTACATGTTTCACAGTACATTTTCCACAATGGAAGGGAGTGTTTTAATCACAAGTGTTACTGGGAAGAAATGAAATTACCTTACCAGATTGCTTTAAGGTACTAAAAAATCCCTGCAGTGGTCCTTAATGCCATGCAGGCAAGGTGGGACAGCGCATGGTCTCAACTGAAATGTAATGACAGTAAAAAAAGTCATTTTTATTTACATTAACCAAACATGAGTTTGAGGTGATGTTTTTACCTCCAGTTTATCTGAATTTCCCTGTTTATTTTATTGTCTGTCCTTGGGGCGTGGATAAAGCTTTACAAGACTGTGTGAAGCCAGCAAAGACATTCAGGCTTTTTAAGATCTGCAGATGGGCTTCTTTGGAGTGCTGGCAGTGTGTGCAGACAGGATCAGGTATCTGCCCTGAGGGATTGGGGTCTCTGGTGACAGGGAAAATCCCAGTCTTTCCTTGTAATGGCATCTACTGATCAAATGGGAAAAAAAACCCCAAAAACAGAGGGCTGGATAAAAAAGAGGACACTGGGTTCCTCCATATTTCATGCCAGCTCAGACTTGGCCACATCTTGGTGATTTTCTTGCTGCCAAGTCCTTTTAAGAACACTGTTGTTTGGCCACAGGAGGAGTTCCCAAAGAGGAATCCCATCATTCCTCCTATGAGAGGCCAAAACCCACCGAGGTCTCCTGAGCTGCACTTCTCACTCTTGAATTTCAGTGCCAAAGGGAACTCTTGGTGCCTCAGGAGCTGACTGGTGTGTGCCTCTGCCTGTGTGAGAGCCACGCTCACTGCAGGGACCTCCAAATCCTGAGATATTCCAGCCTGCACCCTGTAAACAGCATGGATTAGCAGGGAATAACATCCCTCCTCTGCCCTTGTAGGACTCCCTCAGGAATAACCTGATATGGTATCAAAACAAAACCCCTCTGTTGCTCCTTTTTGCATTCAGCCCTACCAGGACAACATGGGACTAATTGATCAAACGAGATCGATGAGGCCACCAGGCAAAGCTTGGGTGCAAACCAGCTCCAGATTTAACACCAGCTCTGCCTTTATATTCCCACTGAAATCACAATTTTACTGCATAGGTAACTCCAGAAGGAACCAACCTACTCTGGAGCCAGGCTCTTGGTGCAGTTTTTATTTGTGATATTTTTCCATTGTGTCTGAACATAGTTTTAATTCAGTGTCAAAATAAATCTGAGGCTGATAAATTTTATGATTGTTTTACTGAGAAAAGGCAGTAAACTACTTGCTTTGGCTGCTCTTCCTACCCTGCAGAAATTATTTGTCCAAGCACAGCAGCAAAGTGGATGAGGGGAGGAATAAAAAAAGAAAAAAAAGCACCTGCCCACTAAATCCTTTAATCCTTTGCAAAAATTGGATTAAGATTCAAGACATTGGGCAAAAAGTGCTTGTCATGTTCCCTGTTTCAAAGGAAAGGTGGCAGCTCAGAGAGCAATGTGAAAAAGCTGCAAAGTTTGGGTAAAATCCCTCTCCCATGGTTTGTAGTGCCAGCCACAAAGCAGGTAGCAGAGAGGAGAGTTCAGGTCCCAAAGCTGCTCTGCCTTTACCTCAAAGGTATGTAAATCCCAAAGAACAAGTTTCTTCCTTAATTCCATGAAAATAAAGCACTTGGGAAAATCTGGGTGAGCAGCAGCACCCGTGGGGAGGATGGGAGGAGGAGGGGGGGAAAGAAAAAGCTGTTTTTCTGCAGTTTCTGCCACCAACTACTCTTTTTAGGGTTAAGAGGAGAGCAGCATCTTTCCCAGTTCTGAATGGAGGGGGCTTTGCTGAGCCCTAGGACATGCACAGGTAGGTTCCACATGAGAAAAATAGAATTCATGGTAGGCTCCACATGAGAAAAATAGAAATAAGAGTGATCTAGGAGAGAAATGTAAGAAAATGTGTAGTTTGAGAGCTCCCTGTAGCTCCAGTCAGGCTGCATCAACACCTTGGGCTGACTTGTTCCTCCAGAAGTCGTCACTTCGGTGCAGCTGGGCAGGCTGGAAAACATCCTGGTATAAAATGATATTTGCAGAGTAACCAGAGAAAGAAGAGGTCACACCATTTGTGAAAGCAATCTGAGCAGGGAAGCACAGGCATGGCTGGCAGCTCAGCTCATCAGGACCTAACATTAATTAACCAGAGGTGGAGGAAAGGAGATAAGCCCTGGGACAGCTGTTGGTAGGACGGCGGTTTCTTGCTTCACTCTGGAATCCAGCCATCCCAAAAACCCAACCTATCTCTCCTTGCTTCAGGCAATTACCCCCCAGTCTCAGCTCCAATAAACTTCAGCTGGTGCTGTACACTGTTATTTGTTTGTGCCTCCTGGTGCTGCTGAGAGACCCTACAGGAACGTGAGCAAGCAGCAAGACATTTCCACCTCTGTGCAGGCAGAGGAAGGGACATCACCCTGGGGGAACCCGTGGACCAAGGAGATGAGGGAAATGGGATTTTCAGAATCACTGTGAGCTGAACAAGGTCTGATCTCAGCGAGGTTAATTGGAGGAACATCATTACTGGGGCAATCCCAGCCAGGGCTGTGCAGCATCAGGCAGCGTTCCCTGAACGGACGCGATGGGAAGCGTTGTCTCCTGGATCACAGCCCTCCAGAGGAATCTGGCCTTGATTCAGCTGGAAAAGCAAGCTCTCAAAAGCAGAGAACATTGCTGGTGACCTCCACAGGCTACACGGGACGTCAGACCTGTGAGCAGCACTGCAGCTCTCCTCACCCCCCAGGAAATGTCTCAGAGGACAAAACCTGCAAGTGGAAAAGCTGAATAGTGCCTGAGAGCAACAGAACACTGGACAGGAAAGTGGGTGATCCCTGGGATAAGAAGAACTGGTATTTTGCACAATAAAATTCCAGAATGACTCCAGATTCCCCTGATGGACACAAGGTTTGTTCTGTTATTTCAATGTAAGTCAGCTGTTAGGTTGCTTCTTTTCTTGTTGTGTTCCCATGGGTACTGAATGAAGCTTTCTCACTAACTCCTCTCTTGAAAAGTAGGAATTTAGACAAGTTTTAATTGTCTTTGAGGGGGGAAAAAAATAAAAGCTGAGTGGATCTGGCTTGTCCTCTGATCAGACACCATAGACATGCTGTTGGTTTCCATACCAGGAGGTGATTAGAACCAGAGGTGAGACCCATGGGTTAACTAGAAAACATCATTATGCTCATCCCACGTGACCTTTCCTCACCAAAAGGGTGAATAGGAAACCAAGCTGTGCGGGATGGAGCAGCCTCAGATTGCTGGCAGATGTCAGGATGAAGAGAAGAAGAAGTTCATTTCCGTCTGCGATGGAAAGGTCACCGAGGAGCACAGCTGATGGCAGTGTGGATGTGCCACTGAACATGACAGCAGCCTGCTGCCAGGGACATTTTCTGTGCAGGCAGCACATTCCACAACTCCAGCTTCAGTCGGGGTGAAGTTAGGTGTAAATCCAGGCTCAACCTCAGACACCCACTGCTGTCCAAGCTGTTTTTAAAGTCGTTTTCACCCTGATATTTCCGAAGAGCAGCTCCTCGAGGTGGGTGAATTCCAAAGAGGCTGATTGTACAAATGAGTGGTGGTGGATGGTTGGACTGGGAAAACCTGCAGCTGGAGGAGGGGTGTGGCTGGATATTTTGCAGTGTTTGGGCTGTTTGTGAGCATGGCCTGACTCAGCTGTCTGTGTTTTCTCCCACACAAGGATGAATATTTCACACAAACCTTGCCATCCTTTTCTTGTTTCCTGTGTATAAGAAGTGACCCAAAGGCAGAGGAGGAGATAATGCAGAAAATCATGATGCATGAGGGGTACGTATAGCCCAGGAGAATTTTAAAAGGAAACTTTTCAGTATCTGAATTATTTAGCAGCAGAAGAGTTGGACAAGAGGAGGGAGTTGCTGGCTGATAGTAAAAACAGGGAGCTGAATTGTGGAGATATAGTTGCCACTGACACATAGTGAGGAAGAGGAAGACAAAGACTTTCTGCCTGATGGGTTTTGGTGGGAACCACACCAGGGATGGGAGGTGCTCTGGAGAAGGGTGAATAGCTGGTGAGTAGCTTGAGACATGTGAGGAGATGTTTCTGTCCCATCACCACAGCCCACACGTATGCTGGGCACCTCTCCATCTCCCCAAGCAGGACACCCCATCCCTGGGAGCATCCAAGGCCAGGATGGATGGAGTTTTGGACAACCTGGTCTGGTGTAAGGTCTCCCTGCCTGTGGCAGGAGGTGGAACTGGATGGGCTTTAAGGTCCCTTCCCACCCAAACCATTGTATGATTCCATGATTTTATGATCTCTGTTTATAACACTGCTACTGCTAATGTTGATCTTTTTACCCCTTCTCCTTCCATCTCTCCTTTAAGAATCCAGCAGTTTCAACCAAATATGAATCCTATTTTTTTTTTTAAGCAAAACCCCTTTAAAAAGCCTGTACAATGTACAACGCCGAGTTAATTTCCTTTGCTTGCAGCTCTTCCCTGAAAATCAGCTCAGCTTTTTTGGGGTCTGAGTATTCACAAGCACAGCCTGAGCCCGAGCCAGTCAAAGCTCAACACCTCTGAGAAGTCAGCCTGGGCTCCCCTGGGAGCCAGGAGCTGAAGAGGCCACATGAGAGCTACCAGAGCCCTCCTCTGGAGGGGATGCCCAGCTGGTGTCTGGCTCACACATGGTCTGGACCATCCTGACGCAGGCTTGCAATTCCTCACCATCCACACTGAATTTCAGCTGGGGATTCGTGCAGTAACAACTTCTCTTCTGGCTCAGAGAATTCTCCCCATCAGTGACTCTCCCAGTACTTTTCCCCTTCCTGATGTGTGTGCCTCTTTGAAGGCTGCCGTGGATTGGGAATTCATCTTCAGATGAACTGCTGCTTGCCCAGAGTCTGTCACTGCTCTGTGGTCACCAGCAGAAAAAATGCCTAAAAACATTTGTCATCATTATATTAATTATGACTGTGATTGCTGCTCATTCCCAGGAAAAAAAATGGAGTTTTCTCACACAGGAGTCCCTGATAAACCAGCAGCAAATCTTTTTTATTTTAACTATTTCTAACAGGAAAAGCACTGACTTCTCTCTCCTTTAGGGCCACATCTGTGGGTACCAGCACCAGACTCTGTGTAACCCAAGTGAAAACAGCAAAAGGTAAATGGGAAAGAGATGTCAAGAGTGCTTTTAATCATCTCAGGCCTCCTTTGGCACATGTTTTTAATTGCTTAGAGGGGAAAAAAAAAAAGGGGGAAAAAAAAAAGAAATAAACCCACTTATGAATAATCTAATAAGCTTCCCAACCACCTGTGAAACGTGGCTCCCCAGCTGCAGAGAATCAAACACAGGAATAGAAAACAGAGCATTCTCCGAGGCAACACGCATCCACATTAGATGCACGTCATTCCAAAGCCACAGAAGAAAAATGCATTAATGCCATTTTTGGGCTCATGGCATTCATGCCACTCCATGAAAAATTATCTCAGAGGAGTGTTTACTTAAGGAGCACCAAGAATCTGCTTTAAAGTCAAAAGGTAGGGGGGAAGATGGAAGAGGGAGACCTGCTCCTTGGCGTCCTTTCAAACGAAAAGAACATCATCAGGAAAATCCCACATAGCATTTATTTGAGGAATTGCAGTCCAGCAGGCAAAATTACTCAGGAATAATTAAGCATGTTTCCCTGATATAAAGATATCCAGGAGTGAGTATTCAAGCAAAGTTAAAATGCAGAGCTGTATAGGCACGGCTTTATTCCAGAAGCAATTTGTTTTCCTGGTATGAAAAGAGTGTTATTTTCACTGCATTTTGGAGCCACCCAGCAAATGTCCTCAAGAAGCTGTTTTTTCATGGGAGAGAGCTGCTACGTGGAGGGGGGAAAAGGTAACATCCTGACATGGAGGAGGGAAAAAAGGGAGCTGTGCTTTCAAGGCTGTTTTGACATGTTTTTCTTCTACCCTGAACCAGACTTCAAATACAGCTTCTTAACCACGACAGCTCAATGACCCACCCAGAGAACTCTTTTTCCACAAACAATATAGCGTCAGGAGAAGGAGCCTGAGAGGAAAAGCAAACACTCCTTAAAGCAACTGCTTTATTTGGATAGTTCTGAACCACTGGCATTGGGGGCAGGTTTTAAGTTGGTGGGCGTGAGGAGAGGAAAGCTCATGGTTTTGATTTGAAGTAGCCACATCAAAACCTGTTTTAGAGAAGGGAATGGCAGTATTTTGAAAAATACATCCTTCTTAAGGGGATGTTAGGGAAAACAATTCTGTGGCCTGTTGAATGATAAAAGCCAACACGCTGGCTGAGGGAAAAAAAAAAAATTGCCTTTAAGTGCCTTGGATAAATGCATGATATACCTTGCCTGGCTGCAGCAGTGCCTTTAGGTGAAGGAAATTGTCATTCACACGTGCTGCTTGCGGGCACAGAAGGGTCAGCCAGCAGAACTGGTATCAAAATTGTTGCCCTTTCTTCCCCACCAACCTGCAGTCGTGCACAGAGTGTTGACAAGAAGTTAAAAACTGCCTGTCCCACCCTGAAGAGACACACATGGATACACCCACCCAGCCTAGCTGGGTACCTCCTGCCAGCCAGGAGTCCCCAAGCCACTGCTGGTGCAGCACTGATGGGTGGCACTCAAACCTGCACGCTGGCAGCTGTGGGATGGTGTTGGACAGCAACACTGGGAAATTAGGACATCCCTTGCAGACTTGCCCAGCCTTTAGCTTTGCCTTTCACATGCACTCCTGGCAGCTGTGTTATAAACCTACTCTGTGCTTTTATTTGGTGGCACTATTTCACATCTCGTGATACCACAACGCTGCCTCTCCCCCGGATGGCTGCTCACACATCCAAAGGACTCTTCCTGCTTTTTGTGAACCATGTTTTACATTTCCACAGGTGAAGAAAAGCAAACCAGCTCTTCTGCATTTCCAGAGGCTTCATGGCAGGTGGGGAGAAGAACAGACAGCAGCAGATGGGTGACATCCCCACCCAAGTCCAAGGATGGAGTGGGCTGGCCATGGCATGGCTGGACTAACAAAGGATTTATGTGCCAGCCCATTTCCTGATGGGCCAAGAAGTTTCTGGTTGAGGCAGCCAGAGATCTGCACTGCACTTCCACAAAGGTCTTTGAGGTCTGGAAATGTGTTTTCACTCTGGTGTGGAAAAAGAACTAAACTTTACAAACACTTCCCCAAAGTGTTTTTTATTGTTGTTGTTGTTGTTGCCATTGAAACATCTGGTTTCAGACTGAGAAGATCGGGGTTCTCATTTAGATTCTTCTCTGCTTATAAATTGACCCCAGAAAAGCTGAACACTTTCCCATGGAAATGTTATTAATGGGACTATTTCACTGCAAGATGTTCTGGTTTGGATGAAACAGTGTTTTCTGACAACAATGACAACAAATCTCATTAAAATGTTTGAGTAGCTCCAGTCTCCAAAAGCACCAAGTGGCTTTTTGAGCATCTTCAGATCCTGCAGCCTGAAACATGCAACAACAATGTAAGAGCATTGTCACCCATCAGATAGGCAATAATTTGGAATTCACTTTGCATATCTGTAATGGACCCACATCAATGGAGCTTTGTTTGCAAGAAGTCTCTTACAAAAATGGAAAAAGGAAAATGCCATGAAATACCTCCAGCCTCTCAATGCCATTCAGCAAGGATGCATTTTGGTCATTAATCATCCACATTTAGGCAAGCAGTTAGAAAAGCCTAGCTGTTCCAGGCCACAATGCTCTCCTTCATTGCATTAACGCCTCCCTGCTAACAAGACAACTTCAACACACGATCCCCAAGAAGGGCCAGAATGCCTTATTCCCAACGTGGTCATTGTGGCATTGTTTTAGATTGAAAAGTTCATGGAGTTAATGCCTTTTTAAAAGATCCCAGTTGAGCCTAATTATCTTGTGAAGAGTTCTGTGCAGGCAATATCTGATTTCAAACCAGTGTTTATCCGGCTGCTCCCAGGACAGCGCGGGGTCTCCGGGGACACTGAACCTCAGCTCGTGTTTTCCCCTAAAAACCCTCACAGAAAGCACAGCCTGGGAGCAATTTTGGACACCACCCCTGCAGAGGTGCAGGTTTGGGATGGGGCTGGGTATGAAAAAAGCTCTGAGTTCAACAGGTGGGAGCTGCCTGATGCATTTATCCTGTGCTTAGAGTTTCACATCCTGCTGAAGCACTGACCAAGTGACACCTCAATCCTCCCCCTTCCAGAGATGTTGCAGCGTTTCCTCTGCTCCTCTCCAATTCAGGAACATTTTTTTCTCCCATGAATCAGACATCTGCTCCCAGCCTTCCTTTCCCTGATACTCACACCCACTCCTCCAGCAATGTGGCCCCTTTGCTTCCCAGCACTTGCCCTCCTACTCACCGGTGTCCAACCATTCCTGGAACTCCCAAGCCTGGGCTTTCCCAAGGGATTCAGTGCTGGGAGGGATTCAGGCACTGCTGAGCCAGGCCAGGCTGCTGAGCACTTCCAGGTAAAGCTCAAGGTATATTTCCCTGCATCCAGACATTGCACATCTTCCTGCACAGGACCTTGATTCCTCATTTTCACCCCAGGACTGGGACTGCTCACAGCCACCCCCTCTTTTGGCAGTACCTCTCCCCGTCCATGCCTTCCAGGGACAAATCCACCACTGTTCAAACCCACAGCTTTGGAGTGGGTTTAAAATTTCCCAGGGCACATTCCTACAGCCTCTAGTTTCCAAACTCTTAGGAATTTGCCACACAAACGTATTCCTTCCCTTTATTTGTTTCTTCCAAGTAATTAGAGTGGGGAGGGATTGTTTGCTACCTGTCATACCTTGGTTTAAGCCATTTGGGAACAAAGTGAGAAAAGAAAAAAAAAGAAAAAAGGAGAGACTTGCAGTGGATTAAGACTGCTGATTGTAGTAACAAGAGGAGGTATTTTAATGACAGGTTTAAGACTTGCTAAGTAACTGCCATGAGGATTATGAATACATTTTGTAACAGGGTAAGATTAAGAGATAATCCTTAAAAAAAGAATTAATACGGCCAATGGATTTTTAGATGAAAAATAAACTACAAAAAACACCAAAAGCCCTTGAAAATTCTGCACAGGAAAAGTTTTCCATAGAAATATTGACTTTGTTAAACATTTTCAAGTCAGTGTCCTAGGCAGGATTAAGTTGGTGTGTCTTAATGTGAGTGAAATGGCGTTGATTTATACCTCGTTTAACTTGGGCATTTTTTAAATGAACTAACAAGCTCCTTGCCAAGCAGCAGCCTGGCATCCCCAGCCACAGGGAGAGTGGTCTGCAAGGAGCAAGCTGCCTTCCTTAGAAAACGAGCTCTTGCTCCCGAACAATGCCGTTATTGATACCCAAATGTCATATGGAAATTTTGAGGACACTTGGGGCCTTTCTCTTTCCTGGCTCCACAAGACTTGATCTTAACCCTCACCCAGCTGAATCTCTGACCAGCCATTAGCTTTTGGATTTGACCCTTTCATTCTGTATTCATCACGAGGAAGACAGGAAAGGCTGTATTTTCAGTCCTTATCAGCAGTGGGAATGGACTGGATGTGGCACCTCCTTGGCTGTACGTGCGTGGTTTTGCATCCACAAATCCATGCAGATCCCTGCTGATAGTGAAGAAGTTTCTGAGCAAGTTTTGGGGCTCTGCAAGACCAGCAGAAGGCTTGAATTCTTGTGTTTGGTGAGGGACAACATCTGCCAGCTGTAACACAAACCCAGCACTGACAGGAAGAACTCTGCCTTTCTGCTGGCCAGAAGAAACTGGGACTCTTTTCCTCACTATCTTTTTAAAAGGACACTTATTCCAGTACAAAGAGGAGTACAAATTTAGAAACGAGTTAAAAGTGTTTTCAGGAAGTGTTATAGGCCCTTTCAGTCAACTTGAAGCTGAGCTTCACCAGGTCTGTTTTCCAGCTGAAAAATCAGCTGCAGGACTTGGAGCCCATAGTGGGAATCTCTGGTCTGAAGCATATCTGAGCTTTACCTTTGCAAGTAACACAATTTTTTTTTTTTCCAATAGAGATGTGTTGATATTACCCATGAATGAAACACCTCAGAAGCCTTTCACTTAAAAGGAGTAGAGGAAAAAGCAGTCAGTGGAAATAAAAATAAGAATTAATGGGTCGTTTTTGGTTGGAAGCATCCTATTAGCTTTTTACAGTCTATTAGGAGTTAAGAAGTGATGATCACTGCCTGTCACACGGTGGGATAAATCCCAGCTGCCAAAGGCTGCACCCATGGATGGATCTTTTCCTCATTTCACACCAAGGCAAGACTCAAACTAAATTCTTGCTATGACATTACATTGCATTTTGGGGCTGCTGAAGGGCTTTAAGAGATCACAGAGAGAGACATGACAGGAAACTGATGTAAGTGAAGGATAATGCAGCTCAAAAGGACAAAGTAGTTGGGACATAACCTTCCTCAAGACCCTCTGGAATCAGTGCAAGCCACTTCATGTATCGGAACAGGTTTTTAAGCTCGTGGTTAAGTGTCCAGTTAAGGTCTTTGTTTGGCCCATGGCCAAAGAGAAGCAAAAACTGCTTTTTCTCCCAGAGAAACAACTTCTTGCCAAGAATCCCCACACAAAGAAAACAAACACAGGAGAAGGCACCATCACAGATACCTAGGGAGATAAGCTGCAAAAACATGTGCTCTGGGCAAAAGTGCAAGGTGCAGAATGTGAGTTCATGGTCTACATGTGTTCTTCACTCTGCTTTGTTTGTTTTTGCTCGGTTTTGATGTGTTAAATTAAGGGATAGTTCATGGCCATAAGTCATCTTCTTGCTGTTGGAAGCCAAATAGTGGGAAGCAGGTATCTTGCACATCAGAGCCAGCTGTTTCATAGGGAGACTTCAAATGCCAGAGCGAGAACACGAGCAGTTGTTCCCTGGCTTTATGATGCTGAAGTAACTCCAAGGCTTCAGGAACAAAAATTGCCCTAGGTCCCAACTGCAAATTAGAAAGGGATGAAAATACCTGCAGCTCAGAGGGGTTCAGTCATTGAGATCATTAGTCTGCCAGGGGTGAGACTGGGTTTCTGTGATCCTGTTTGGTGCAGTTGCTGCTCCGAAGGCTTTGCTTGGAGCAGGACCAGCCTGTGCAGTACATGAGGTGGTAAATCTGAAAGGGTGGTTATTCTGCCCCCACAGTTCATGAGGAGGCAGGGAAAGATGATTCTCCTTCACCTGTCTCTTGCACACAGGGAGCAGGGACATGCATGAGGCCAGCTGTGTCCCCTCACGATGGCTGTGGTGGTCCTGTCTCCTCCTGCCATCAAAAGGGGAAGGCTCCTGCCTCCAAATCCTTTTCCTTCCTCCCCTATTCTATGCTTCCATCTGGAGCAGCCCACATTTTTTCCTACTTTGCTTTCATCTCCTCCTTCATCAGCAGTTTTTGTGATCAGACTGGGCTGGATGGGGTCTACTCTGGTTGAAGGTGTCCCTGCTCGTGGTCACAGAGTTCTACTAGGTGATCTTTAAAGCCCCTTCCAATCCAAACCACTCTACGACTATATAATTTTCATCCAAGGTGAAACCACATATTTCCTGCTAAATGTGGTCTGGCTGCTGAAGCTCTGTGTGCAACACACAGAGGTGGAAAATCCTGTAAAGGCACAAGCAAAGGAATCACATAATTTGGAGAAGAGATGAATGCTCTCAACAGGTACAAATAGACAGCTAAATATTTTTCTTCCCATTGTCAGAGAATCACAGAGCAATTTGGGTTGGGAGGGATCTTTAAGGGTCATCCACTCCAAACCCCCTGCAAAAACAGGGACATCTTCAACTAGATCAGGTTTCTCAGTCCAAACTGGCTCTATCCAAACTGGCCTTGAATGTTTCCAGGGCTGGGGCAGCCACCACCTCTCTGGGCAGCCTTTGCCAGTGTTTGACCACCCTCATTGTAAAAACTTTCTTCTTTATATCCAGTCCCAATCGACCCTCTTTTGGTTTAAAACCATCACTTTTTGTCCTGGTCACAACAGGTCCTGCTGAAAAATTTGCCCTCTAAAATATTTGTTCCCTTTAAGTACTGGAAGGCTGTAACAACATCAGCCTGGAGTCTTCACATCTCCAGGCTGAAAAACCCCAACTCTCTCAGCCCATCTCCATGGAAGGGATGCTCCATCCCTCTGACAACAGGAACTTGGGCAGCAAGGCAAAGAAAAATCCAACTTTCTACAGAATTTTCCCTCGCCAAAACCATGACTTACAACTGTTAACATTCAGAGAACATAATCCTAAAAGTGTAGTGCGGCAGTAAAATCTCAGGGTTGTCACAACCTTGCTACTTGTGCATCTGGCAAGTGTGCTGTCAAGCACCAGGCTAAAAGCAGCAGCAACCAAAGCTGGAGGATGATCAAATATTTCTGGTTTGTGTTTCATTGTGATCACCATTTTTATCTTTTTGTTTCATAACAGAGCATTTCAGGAGACAGTGGGGAAACTGCTGGAAGCCAAAATCATGTCACTCTGCTGGGCTGCACGGACTGTGGCTGGGAACCCAAATATTGTCTGTCAGACTGGGAGAGCTGGATCAAATAATAAAGACAAATATAATTTTTCCCGCCCCACAAACAAACAGTGAGCTTCTCAGTTTGTTATTTATGGGTTTCATAGCTTCACATATTCTCTGGAAGTGTTTCCATGAGGTCCACTGAAATTTTAGCATGAAGATAGCTTTCCTCATAAAATTCCAGAATTGAGATATTCATTCCTGGTTGCTCAATATTCAGCTCCCCAAGCAGGAAACAGAGGGTTTAAATCATCAGTGGCACACTGGGGCTTCAGAGAAATTAAACTAAGCAGTTTTTTAACACGCCTCAGTCGCCAGAAGAGTTTGCATAAAATGCATGCCAATAAAGAAGGCTTTCATAAACTCATCCATCACTGCACACAGGGATTGGATACATCTGGTAATTTATTTCCAATGGATAACCCAATCTGTTCAGAACTAAAGGAAGGTCTGAGCCATTGAGTATCTCCCTTTTATATTCATTACAACTCATTGGTACCTGTGATGCCAGTGAAGCCACCAACAAATGCACAGCCTGGCATCAAGGTTGTAGCTCTCCTGTATGTTTTCCTAAATCCAATTTAAAGTCATAATGTACTTTATTAGCTGCAGACAGAATATTTAAATTCAAAATATTTTTTTTTAAAGTTTCATCTTTTGAAATGCCAATTGGTGATATTCAAGCCACATGTTAGCCACTTGTTTTTAGGGTAGAGGGTGTACCTTAGTACAAACCTTTCTCTGTTTCTTGAAAAAACAACAATAAAACACCCTTTGCCTTTTATCCACATCTGGCTGCAGCGAAAACAGTGACCCATGGAATTCAAAATTTCATACTTCACTGCTGCAGGCAAAGTCCTGAGGTTACTCTTGCTGTGTTTGTGAAAGATGTGGCGCTGTCAGGAGAAGAGCTTATTGAAAAAACACATGGGGGTTCTCTTTCCAAAAATTACGGAATTAGTTGGTGATAAGAGGCTTTTTAATGCCCTCTAGCCATTCGTGGGACTTGATAGGGAATGGTTCTGTTAATTGCAAGACAATTGCAAGAGTAAAGAGTCCATGTGAGATCTTGAGGAGTGCCACCACCACCACCACAGCTCAGCTGCTCTGTGTTGCACAAGCAATATCCCTACAAAGGCCTCCAATTCCAAGGAATTAGGCATAAATAAAACAGGTATAATAAATAAATAAAATAAAATAAGTAATAAAATAAGAGTAACCTTGGATCCCACCTTGCACTGAAGATGTCCCAATGCCATGATGAGTCAGCCTTCCCGCAAATTCAGGCAGGGAAGGAGTTATCAGGAAGAGGAGGAGGATGAATTAAAGTCATTTTCCCAATTCATAAATCAGCCTTCTGCATTCCCAGGGACCATCAAGTAGAACTAAAATTTGGCCTGAATTGAGAAACTGGGAGCTCTGCTCCAATCCACATTCATCAAAGCAGCTGCCATTGGTACTACAGACCCTACATGAGAGAGGTACGAGCCCAAAGACCACCACTATCCTTTTATCACCCCCTTAGCTCATTGCTGAGGGTCTCAGAGTCATCCCTCATGTCCCTGGCCTCTTTGGAAAGGAGTTCCCATCTTGCTGGGCGTTTTTTTGGGGTGAGAAAGTACAGCTGGGTGAACACAACCCTGTGGAAATAGAGGTGTGAGAAGCCTCTGCCAGCCTCACCATTCCCAAATGAATTTTTCCTCATGAGGGATGTAGATGGATGATGGAGCAGTGAAGAAGGCAGCTGTCCAGGATCATGTCCTGTGGGAGAGGCCATGCCCAGGGAGAAGGAGGGAGCAATGCTAGCACATGGAAACCCTCCCACCTTTGTCAGCATGGAGCAGGTATTGTGGAGCATTCTGAAGAAAGGCCACTGTGGTGTGACTTACAAGGAATTCTGTGCTGTAATGAGCCCTCTGTGGAGCAGGGGCAAGTCAGGAAATGTTCTTCTACGCAGTAAATGCAGGTTTCTGGAGACAGTTCCAACCAAGCCCCTTTTCCATAGATTTTCCACCACTTGTGTGGGAAGAGGCAGCCAAGCAGAGGCCAGGAGTGGCCCTGTGTCCCAGGGCTGGCCTGTCTCTGGGGTGGGGTCCCTGCACAGAGATGCCAGCGGGTGTTGGGGCACAGCATCACAGCAGCAGGTCACAAAAAGCTGCCCCAACACAGCCAGGTCCTTGCTGTGCTTTCCCCCACCACACCCACTTCGAGATCCACGTGCCGAAGGGAAACGTCCAGATCCCAAATCTGGCTTTGTCTGGGACGCAAATCCCCTCATCTTTCATGTGTGCGTAGGGAGGGGGCTGGGGGATGACTTTACAACTTTAATGACTGCAGAAAGATATTCATCTGCCGGTAGGACCTTTAGGAAGCACATTTCCTTCTGCCCTGCATGTGACTGGGGAGAACATTTGGTTGACATCTTTCTTTGAAGCCCCCCAACCATCCTACGTATCTGCAAACGCCGAGCAGCAAACCATTGGCAGAACCAGAGTTTCACAATATTTTCATTAAGGAACAACTCGTCCTGTCTGCTTTGATGCTTCCTGGTCTGTGATTCCTGGGGGCAGGATTTCAGCACTGAGAAGGTCACTGGGCCTCATCTGTTTAAAGCAAAGTTGGTTCCACTTTCGTGGTACAGACTTAAAGATGTTTAAGTCCTCTCCTGACTTATCAGCTTCAAGTTTCAGCACATGCCATAATAACTCCTCTGAACATGCCTGAAATAGATGCAGGATGAGGAGAGCTGCCTGCTTATGCTCATACATATGTGCTTACAAATCATCATGCACTGCAATAATTCAAACATTGACAAATGGAAAAAAAAAACAACCCAGCCTAACAAGTAAAAAATCATTTTATATATATAGTGCTATTATCTATTCCTGTTAGGAGGAAGATCTGGGTAATAAAATCCCTATTATTTCTTTTAAACCCCAAGCTGAGTAATGCACTCCCGCATTTTAGCCATATGGGAGCTATGGTAGAAATATTTCTTCCCATTTGGATCACCTAAGAGTTAAGCTAGGAGAAACACGGAGCATACTAATGACACCAAGCCCAGGCAGATAAACATCATATGCTTTCCAACTCCATCACATGGTTTATATCAACAGTGCTAAATTCCTCCATAATTCCCAAAATTGCATTCCAACTGGTTGACATCCACATTAGCTGGATGTTAATCCAGATAAAAATAAATGCAAATTTTGAGAATAAAATGAACTCATATGTGCTTGGAAAACAAACCTTTCCCAGTTTGCTGTCTTTTGGGAGACACCAGCAGCCTTTCTGCCCTGGTCCTTTCAAGACTATTTGAGAGGGTTGTTTGAAAAAGGGTGTCTAAAAAGGCCAAAGAGAAAGGCAAAGGGGAGGGGGTGACTCCCCAGCTTCTCTGAAGGTGACCTTCATCCTCACCTCTAAGGTCCTTGGTTTACCCAGCAAGCCAAAGGGAACGGCCCTGCCACCCACCCAGGTCTCCATCCCACATTATGGATTTCCTACAGGGTTGTTCCAGTTGCAGGGAGGTGTGATTCATGAGTGTTGTTTTGGTTTTTTAAGGTTTTTTTTTAAGCCTTGTGATGTTTATATTCTTGTAATGAACTTTTCCAAGTATTTTTATGTAAATAATTATTGTTTTACTTTCTTTTCTGGAAGAAGAAAAATCTGATGGACTGTTGTCTTGTCCGGTGTCATTGGAAAGGTGGTACTTTCATCCTCCAATCCACTGTTACTTTTAAAAGTCTATAATTGTTGAAGTCAGAAAATAAACTACCCTTCTTTTTACCTTGGAATTCCCAGCTCCAAGGAACTTCATGTCGTTTTATTTCGTGTCCTGTAGTGACACATGAAAAAGCTTTTCTGGTGTATTAGCACAGCTTTTTAAGAGAAATGTGATTCGACTGGTATTCCTGCTTTCCTTTTGCCCCCCAGACCTGCTGGCCCATCCATCCATCCATCCATCCATCCATCCATCCATCCATCCCTCCATCCATCCATTCCGTTCCAGTGTTATCCATAGCAGCACCATCTGCTGAGTCCCAGTGTTACTACAAGCTCCTAAAGAGAGCCTTGAACAGGGAGGAAGCCCCAGAGCTGGAAGGGATATTCACTCCCACGTGGAGAAGCTCCTGGTGATGACATCTGAGCCTGGTCCTTGCAGCTCTTGCCCCCAGCCTCATTACCTGCTTTTCTCCCCAGAGCTCCCAGGCTTCCCATGCAATAACACACAGCAGCATTCCCATAAGCCTGGGAGGGGGCTGGCCCATGCTGGGATGGAGTCTGTGTCCCTGATTACAAGTGCTTTAATGTCCATTTCCCCACTCCTTTGATCCTGCCCATGGCACGCAGAAGAAAGGAAAATCTGGCTTTTGTCTGAAGCACATTTAACCCCGCTGCCCAGAAATGGGACCTTGTCAGTCAGTGGATTTCATGGGTGGATGAATGGGATCACAGCAGTCCTCAGTTCATTAAAATAAAAGGCTGCCCTAGCTCTTACTTCAGATCTATTAGGAAATTAATGCATTTAATGTCAAACCTTAATGGCAAGAGAACATGGCATTATTACTTTTATAAGAAAAATACAAGCAGTAGCTAAATAGCTCATCAGCTCCCGAGCTGAAGTGGATTTCAGACAAGCTCCTGCTGCCCAGCTGGTACAAAATCCCCAGTAATAGACCACAGATGGTACCACTGTAGCCAGGGGTCGAGCAGGCATGCTGCTAAATTGGTCTGCAAACAGCAGCCTGGACCTTGGGATTGCATGTCCCTGTCTCCAGCCAGGATTTTCAGAGGAGTTTGATGTTGGGAACCAAGCCTGGCCACTTCTTTTTGGTTTTTTTTTTTTTTTTTACTTTAGGAACTCCAGCCTGATTTCAAGCCTTCTGTAGGCACTTCTTCCTTAAAGAAATGAAGCATTTGTCAGAGAAATGCCCATGCCTCTGCATTTTTTTATAGCAGATGCTGATCAAAGTGTGAGAGAGATTCCCAGTAAACCAGTGGTGTTGGTGAGCTGCAGGCTGGTGCATTTAAATAAT